TTGCGGCGTTTACTTGCTCCCCCTAATCTACCGCCCGTGTGACACGCACTAGAGACTAAGCCTGGAAAGTTTTGGCAGGAGGAGAAGCAGCCAAAGCCGAGTGACAAGTCGACGTGCATTGCAAAGAGAGTCCAAGACATCGTACCTCTGTGATGTGATGAGATCACGCGCATGTGCATGTGGACAAAAGAGCTAGGCCACTTTGGTCAGGCAAGTGTCCGATCCCTTGGGACGCCACCATCAGGCCTCTGTGATGTGATAAAATGTACAAACTTTTGCTGAATTCATTTTTTTCAAATTTGTGCCCTTTCTCAAAACATGTGAATTTTTCTTTTAATTCATGAAATCTTATTGGATCCATGAACTTTATCCAAATTTCCGAACTTTTTTTTTTATCAAAATCTGCGAAGTTTATCACATCCAAGATTTTTTTATTGAAAATCTGTGAACTTTTTCAAATTCATGATTTTTTTAAATTTTGATGAATTTTTAATCCACATTTTTTGTCAAATCCACGAAGTTTTTCCTATTTTTACCAACTTTTACAAATTTGCCATTTTTTCAAAATTGGTGAACTTTTTCGAAATCAGTTTTTTTTCAAATTCGTGATTTTTTTCAATTTAAATGATTTTCTAAAAGTAAGGATATTTTTCCAAATCAATGACATTTTTTTAAAAGCCACAAAAGTTTTTACATTCGTGATTTAATTTACAAAAACGCACACTTTTTTCGAATTCAGTGATTTTTTTTGAATTTTTGGGAACTTTCCTTAATTTCCTAATTTTAAAAAATGATGTTTCTTGAAAAGTCAATGGTCATCCGGTCAACTATGGACCGGTCAACCATGACCCGTAAACCAGGAAAACCGTTGCGTCCTTATTATTCTGGTCCATGGTGGCTCACTCTGTAGAGGAGGTCTCTTACTGTAGTTAAATCTACGGAAAGTGTTGCCTTAATGTGTCCATCGAAAGAGGAGCACAAAAGCTTTGGGCTGTCAAGAGGCTATGTCTCACTTGCGGAGGATCTAGGAGCGGAGAAGCTTTGTGTTGCCTCAGATTGTCAGGTAGTGGTGAAGAACATTGAGCAACGTTCCAAAGGAAGTCACGGTGCAATTCTACATGAAATATTGGAGCGCAAGGCTAGGTTTCAATCTTGTAAATTTATTGCCGAGTATAGGAATTTTAATTTTGAAGCACACAATCTCGCCAAGTTTGCATATAATCTAGACATAGGATGCCATGTTTGGTTGGGTAATCCGCATGATGATACCCTTGTACCTATGAACATTATGCATTAATAAAGTTGGACGAGAATTCTAAAAAAATGTGACCGTATGGGCTTAAAAGTGACGTCATCAGAAAAGTAGCCCAATTTTCCTATATATACGAAAACCATGGGAGTGGCAAGTAGGGTTTGGGCGATGGGTCAAGATTCAAGGAAGATGGCTGAAGCTAGATAGGACGATCGCAATTCATACGCACGAGCATCATTCAATACATAGATGACAAAACACCAGCAAGGACAACCGTCAAGCAAAGCAAGCGAGCATTCATTCATGGACTATCACGTCATGTTTTTCAAGCAAAATTAGATGCCCATGATTTTTCAAGCAAAATTGTTTTTCTTTACCAGCAGCAAGTGAAGTCAACAGGCCTACTGTTTCCCCTCTTGTGATATTTATTGATTTTGTTTTAAAGGAGCAAGTGATTCTTTTTCTAAAAAAAAAGCAGGCCTCCTCCTCAATTTCCATTCAAGAAACCCCAAAATTATTTCTTACAAAAGCAAAATTCAAAAATGGAGATTTTTGCCAGTTCGAAATACCGAGGCGAAAGATTCCCGCACGCACTTGATTAATCAGCATCCCAAAATGAGCTATACTTAGAGCATCTTCAGCCGTTGGCCCCTCAGGAGGCGCTAAAAATCGCCCCCTGGGGGCGCACCGGCGAAAACGCGTGCTGGGGGCGTGATGTCCCCCAGTCGCGACGCCCAAGATTTATTTGAAAACCACAAACTAGGCGCAAATTCATCCAAACTTCGGCGAGTTCATACATATTTAAAAAAAATTACAAAAAAAAAACGCTACTCGCCGCGGCCCGCCGTCGCCCTCGCCGCTCCTCGCCCTTGAAGCTCTACATGCGGAGGAGCCTGTAGAACTTCGTGTAGTTGCCGTCGCCGTCGTCGTCGTCGCCTCCTCCACAGCCGCCGTCCCTGCTACACCCCTCCCCAGGTTGGCGCGGCGGGTTGGACGGTCCGGGGGCGTCCTCGTCCTCGTTGCTGTCGAGGATCACCACGCCGTGCTCGTCCTCGCGCCCACGCTTGCGGGCGGCTATCTCCTTCAGGGCTCGGCGCTGCCGGACCATCTCGCCGTGGAGGTAGTCGTCCCGCGCCCATTTTAGGGCCTCCTCGTCAGAGAAGCCGCGCCGAACAATGGCCTCGAACTCCGCGGGAAGGCCGGGCTCCGCCTTTAGCCTGACGAGGACGAGGCGGCCAGAGGTGCGGGAGGAGTCGGCGATGCGGACGCCGGAGCTGCGGGTGCGGTGGCTGACCGGCGTGCCCTGGGGCTTCGGCTGGACGGGGCGGAGGCTGGGTGAGCCGGTCGAGCGGTCGGACGAGGAGGAGGACGCCCCCGGGTCCATGCGCCTCGGTGTCCATGAGCTCTCACGCCGGCGGGAGAAGGGCGGGGGAGGGGGGGGGTACTCTAGCCTGGGCGTGTTGCGACCCTCGATGTACTCGAGGACGGCCTCCAGCGTGCGGCCGGGCACGCCCCACCATCGGCGGCGACCTTCGGAGTTGAGCCTCCCGGAGGGCACGACGCCGTTGGTGGCCTCGAGCTGCTTGGCGTGGCGGCGGCGGAAGTAGGGCTCCCACAATGGGCTGTCGGGTACGTACCGTGCGCTTTCCCTCGCCGCTTGCGGCAGAGAGGCGCGGAAACGCACGATCTCCGCACGCCGCGCCGCTTCGGTGGGCGGTGGTGGCACCGGGACCCCACCGACGCTGATCCTCCACGCCCCGGGCACCCGCATGTCCGGCGGGACCGGGTACTCGGCTTCATAGAGGAGCCGAGCTTCGTCCTCGTGGAGGTGGCGGCGGCCGAAGCCGTTCGCCGCCGCGCGTCGCCTGGGAAGTGCTCGGCCATGATTGAACTGGAACGGTGAGAGAAAAGGGAGGGACGGGGAGGAACGGGGCGTCGACGGTGGAGAGTCTGTGCGTCCCCGGCGCGCTGGGGGGCGGCTTATATAGGCGGAGGCGCCGCGCGTACGCTGGCCGCCGTGTTACGCGTGGCGGGCGAGGGACGCGCGTCATCCGGTCTTCACTGCGCCGCCCGTGAGGCATCAATGGAGGAGGCTGTCCGGCGCGGCAGCGTGCGACAGCTTTGGCATTGATTCGCCGTGGGAACCGAGGCGATGAGGACGACGAAGCGTCAAGAAGAGCCGAGTCTCTGCCAAGGAGGGCCCGCCGACTTTCGCGCCAAAAACGATTCGGTCGGTGTCCCAAGCGCCCCTAGCGCGTCAGGTTCGATCTGGGTCCGTCGGCGAAAAAAGGGCCTTTGGAGCCGTGACTGGGCCGATTTTTCGGCGCCGACGGCCGAAATATCGCCTGAGAGGGTCTTGTTAAGGGCGCGGCTGGAGTCGCTCTTACTAGTAGAACCACCATAAGCTACGCTGGCAGTGGAACACTAGCAGCACAGCAGCGATGTTGCGGCGTTTACTTGCTCGCTCCTAAATCCACTGCCCATGCCACACGCACCGGAGACTGATTGACTAAGCCTGGAAAGTTTTGGCAGGAGAAGAAGCAGCCAAAGCCAAGCAACAATGGACGTGCAATTGCAAAGAGAGTCCAAGACATCGTACCTTTGTGATGTGATGAGATGACGCGCATGTGCATGTGCAAGCGGTCAAAAGAGCAAGGCCGCTTTGGCGAGGCAAGTGGCCTATCGCTTGGGACGACCGTTCTCCGGGAAGATCCTGCGTGCGCGAGAAAGCATGGTCAGTCAGTGTGTCCGGTCAAGCCCGCCTTCCGCCATGGAGGATCGCATCCGCATCGCGCGAAAGGGAGTTGAAACTACCGGGCCTGCTGTCATCTTCCGCTCGCCTAGAATGGCTGCTCGAGTCGGGCGCACGGCACCGCGGGTCAATCCTTTTGGCTGCCGATTTGGGCCGTCTGTTACACACTGTTCAAAGCCCTTGACGGGTCCGATGGCGAGATGACTTGCAGGCGTGGCTGGCTTCTGCTGAGACGTCGCAGCCCCTCTCTCCTAAATGGGTCGCCAAATGAGGCTTAGAAGAAGAGTAAACATTTGCTAATGCAGTGCAAGCATGTTGTTGGAACAGATGCTTCTTTCTTTTTTTGTTGCTGAAAATAAAAAAGGTTACAGCAGATAATTCAGTACAGAGTTCAATGAACAGTTAAATACTTAAATCTGTGTTTATACCGTTTTATTTTCATCTGAGACATGGTGATTACTTCATGATGTGCATATTCAACAGTGCCCGTATTCTAACTTTCTAACCATATTCAACATTGAGATGATGCTAGAAAACGATCTTCTTTCAGTTGTCAAGAAGCAAGCAGAGATAAACTGGAACTGAAACACAAGTTGGCACTTACGCTCACAAGTCCCAGGTGACAAGAGCTGCTCGTGCAGAAAAGTCACCGTGCCATCCCCCGTAGCCACCTTCCCTGGTTAGCTTAGCCGTTCAAGATCACAAGATTCCCAGCTGCGGCGTAGAAAGACGGCTCCGGTGAGACTGACTAAAGCGAACGATAACAATATTTGACTTCACCAGCATTCAGTGAGAAGCCTGTTGGTTGCACGAGGATACCACATTCATACATACCCCATCACCACAGGTTCAGATCACACGCGGTTTACAGAGAAAAGTAACGAACCTCTTGTCATCCTGGGCCTACCCAGTGCGTGCCTATAAAAGCAAGTCATTGTTAAATAAGACCAACGCAGAAGGCCGGCAAGAGTGAGAGATCATCATCGTACCTCCAGGATGGCCGAGCCTCTGATAACCAACGGCAATGGAGCTGCTGAAGGGGGTGCTGCGGGCTCTGCGTTTGCGTCGGTGAAGGTGCCGCCACCGTCGCCGCCGAGGAGGCTGCAGAGGTTCGACTCCCTGCATATGGAGGCCGGGAAGATTCCTGGCGGCCACAGCTATGCGGCCAAGGTCTGTTCTTCCCTTGCTCTCTTCCTCGGTTCGACAGAAATCTTCATTTTTTTACAATACAAGCAAGGGAACTGCATCAAAAATTTCCGATTCCTGTTATGATGGGGTACTTTCTCATGACTGCAAAACCAGGAATTTTCAAAGAAAGATAACAGTCTGCACTTGTAACATTACAGACAGCACAGTTTTGTCAAGGACGGCTGCTACAAGTAACTAATGTATTATGATGTCAATCCATCATGGTAGACTTGTCACTTATGTGAAGTAACTAAACATACCAGCTGCTTCAGCATCATGAGCTTGCATAACCAAACAACCCAACATATTAATTAGCTGCTTTAGCATCTTATAAGCTTGCATAATCAAACAACTAAGCATATTAATTAGCTGCTTTCCTTGAGGTGAATGTAATATTTGCAATCTGACTGTGATTTTGCTCTCTTTCTTACCGCAAAGCAGGTTGGCTGGGCGACGACACTGCACTTGGCCTTCCAGAGCCTAGGTGTGGTTTATGGGGACATGGGAACTTCACCCCTCTATGTGTTCTCCAGCACCTTTACTGGTGGGATCAAGGACACAGATGACCTCCTTGGTGTCATGTCCCTGATTATCTATACTGTGCTTCTCCTTCCATTGATGAAATACTGCTTCATTGTCTTGAGAGCTAATGACAACGGCGATGGTAAGTAAATACCCTCCACTTATCTTCTGGACAAAACTTGTATGTTTATAGAGAAGACTTGTATGTTTACAGAGTACTGACAACCATTAGAAGTACTAGGGTCTGAGCATTAAGCACTTAGTTCCATAAAAAAGAAAATCCAAAATATGTGAGACCATGTAAATGCAAACAATATTTTGTTCAAGTGAGAGTTTGTCATATCTTATGAATTCATAACCTTTGCAGGCGGAACATTTGCACTTTATTCCTTGATATCTCGGTATGCTAGGATTAGCTTGATACCAAACCAGCAGGCTGAAGATGCAACAGTCTCTCACTACAAGTTAGAGTCCCCCACGAATCGTGTCAAGCGGGCTCATTGGATTAAGGAAAAGATGGAAAACAGCCCGAAATTTAAGGTCATACTTTTCCTAGTGACAATTCTAGCAACATCAATGGTTATTGGTGACGGTGTGCTCACTCCATGTATTTCAGGTGAGCATCCTTTCTTTCTTAAGCTCATCTCCCGAATTTCATTGCGGGAAATTAGGATTTCATGAGGGAGGAAAAGGGGGTCAGTATAAAATAACCCGCAATCCAACGGATAGTTAAAACATGTGGACACTTGAACAAATAATGTGCCATATCTACTTTATGAACTAATTAAATACATGCCCATGCTAAATAATTATTATTCAGATAAAATATGAAACAGAGAAATTACCATCCAGATTATAGTATTGAAGCAGCTTATTGTTCTGCTAGATGATAAAACACCCAATTTGCAGTGTAATATATTCATAAGCATGATTGCTTTCAGCTTAGCTAACAAAGTTTTTGGTATTTTACTATGTTGCAGTGCTTAGTGCAGTTACGGGAATCAAGCAATCAGCAAAGTCGTTAACTCAAGGTATACCCATCATAGGATGCATCTCCCTGTTTAGCAGTGAAAGTTACATCCATGTCACTATCTTAGGTTGCCAGTTTTATTTGATTCTTTTGATCTCATCAACAGGACAAATTGCTGGCATCGCAATCGGCATTCTGATCGTCCTCTTTCTTGTCCAGCGCTTTGGCACAGACAAAGTTGGTTACACATTTGGCCCAGTAATCTTTATATGGTTCATCTTAATTGCCGGCATTGGGATTTATAATTTGATCAAACATGATACTGGAATTCTGAAAGCATTCAACCCACAATACATAGTGGAATATTTCCAAAGAAATGGGAAGGACGGCTGGATTTCGCTTGGAGGTGTTATCTTATGCATTACAGGTATTTTCATGTCATGAGTTCAATACAGAACTCTGCAATTGTTCACCCTAAGATGTGAACTAATAGAATAGGCCCACAAGGTGCTGCATTGATCTTGAAAAAGGAATAAATGCTCCTTGTTTATTCAGAAGTCCTGAAAATGGATATTGTGTCTTTTGTGAAATAGGAACCGAAGCAATGTTTGCTGACCTTGGTCACTTCAATGTGAGAGCAGTTCAGGTAATCAAGCAACTCATCTGAATAATTAGCCTTTTCATTATTTTGATTTGAGTGTGTGCACAGAAAGGGTGGTTGGAGAGGGAATAAACTCTGTGCAGTCATGCTTATGGAAAATAAATCCTTTCGAGTTATATAGAACTGTATTATGAAAAAAATTACTTTCCACGATCAATAAATTTGCAATTAATCTTATTCATGATTTTCCATTTATTCCACTTATACAATTAATATAAATTTTTATTGCACTGCAGATTGGCTTTTCTGCAGTTCTGCTCCCATCAGTATTGCTTGCTTACATGGGTCAGGCTGCATATCTTCGCATCCACCCTGAAGATGTTGCAGATACATTCTACAAATCAATCCCAGGTGAGATCATAAGAGGATCAGCTAAGAAATGGAATGAGTTAGGCACTGAAAGATTAATATTTAACAACAAACTCATTTATTTTGTCACAGGTCCATTATATTGGCCAACATTTGTGGTGGCCGTGGCTGCTGCTATAATTGCAAGCCAAGCTATGATTTCTGGTGCCTTTGCAATCATTGCTCAGTCCCAAGTTCTTGGTTGCTTTCCACGGGTTCGTGTCACTCACACCTCAAAAAAGTATCATGGGCAGGTCTACATCCCTGAGATCAACTATGCATTAATGATCTTATGTGTAGCTGTGACAGCTATTTTCCAAACTACAGACAAGATCGGCAATGCATATGGTAAGAAAATCTTCAACTCTATATAAAGAAAGGAGTAAATAATTCATTACCTGAAGATCATTTCTGCTATAAGATTGAGACATCTCATGCTTCTATTATTCCCTTACACAACTGTTGCATGTTATTTCTCTTAAGTAGTCTTCACCTGAAATTTCAATATAAACATAGATGCACCGAAGTTGCTCATAACATGATGTTTTCGCTCGTCTATTTGCCCAGATTGTCGGCAAGTAGTACGTTACTCGCAAATATGCTATATTGCCATTGCTGCTTAACCTGCCAAATCCAGAAAGAGTGAAATCATCATATGCTAATTGTGGAATTTAGCAAGAATATAAAAGTTTGTATGTAAGATGTGATAATGTCTGCATAGCCTGATCAATTGATGAAAATATACCAGATTGGTCCATTCTTCCAAAATCCAATGGCATCATGACCCATCAACTTATTCTTATAAAATCAAAGAAGTAACAACTAACAAGTATTATCCACATTCGAAATTCACTTTGTTACTTTCAGTAATAATGGAGTATCAGTTTTATGATAATAATATAATCATCATATGTGCAGGTATTGCTGTCGTCTTTGTGATGTTCATAACAACACTTCTAGTCACACTGGTAATGGCCATGATATGGAAGACAAGTCTGCTGTGGATTGCACTCTTTCCAATAATATTTGGCAGCGCAGAGCTCCTGTACTTATCCTCAGCATTCTACAAATTTGTAGAAGGTGGCTACTTGCCACTAGGTTTTGCAGCAATTTTGATGCTTATAATGGGCACATGGCACTATGTTCATGTTCATCGGTACAAATACGAGCTCAAGAACAAAGTGTCAAACAACTATGTGGCCGAGTTGGCAACAAGGCGAAATCTTGCTAGGCTGCCAGGAATAGGCGTTCTGTACTCTGAGCTTGTGCAAGGAATCCCACCCATACTGCCCCATTTGGTAGAAAAAGTACCTTCCATCCATTCAGTTCTTGTGATTATCTCAATAAAGTTCTTACCAATCAGCAATATAGAAACAAATGAGAGGTTCCTCTTCCGATACGTGGAGCCAAGAGAATACAGGGTATTCCGATGTGTGGTGCGCTATGGTTACAACAATAAAGTAGAAGATCCAAGAGAGTTCGAGAACTTGCTTATTGGGAACTTGAAGCAATTCATCCATCAAGAATCACTCTACAGCGAAAGTAGTCATTCCCTTGAAGGAGAAGATAATGCATTCGAAGAATCAGGAGATGCAATGGAGCCTTCTGTTGAAGTTCAAGACGCAAGGTTGCCGAAAAGGTTTTTAGATGGAATCACTGCTAGCCCAGTGAACGGGTTAATGGATGAGATAGAGTTTATTCAGAGAGGGATGGATGATGGTGTTGTCCATCTGCTGGGAGAAACTAACGTGGTGGCGGAGCAAGATGCCGGTTTGGTGAAGAAAATAATAGTTGACTACGCCTACAATTTCATGAGGAAGAACTTCAGGCAACCAGAGAAGATCACATGTGTTCCACATAACAGGCTGCTGCGGGTGGGAATGACATATGAGATCTAGAGAGATGCTCAGTGGATTGATCAAATTGACAATAGCTTCAGTTTTCTCAGTACCGAGTGCAGAAAGGATATGCAGAGGAAGATGGTGACCGCGTAAACAGTCTCCCTGACAGAACAGCAGAGGATGGACAGAGTTTCCGCGTACAAGTGGTGAAACTACAGTACATGCAATATGTATTTACCATATAATATTTTTGTTAGGGAAATTATACTGTATAAGTGTTTGTTAGCAGTAAGTATGCATAGCTGTCAAACCCCTAGTTTGGCCAACTCTTTGCCTTCTTTTTGGAAAACTCAAAATCTTAGTATGTGCAGTTGTACACAAAGATTGTAAGCTACCGGCAAAAGTTAAACGAAGAATAAAGTATTGCTTTTGTACATTCATCTCAAATTGTGTATACAGCATGTTACGGATTGTATGCGGCCAGCACTTGGCACTTCAGACGTTTTTGTTTCCGAGGCAAGTCAAAAGATTTGCCAAACATGACAAAAAGAGGAAGAACTAATTGTGCCACCAACCGTGTGACTGTAAGAAATGGAAGGGCCAAAGTGCGGATTAAACAAATGTGCATCAGTTATCTTCAGACATTGTGTTCTCAGCAAACAAATCAAAAATTTATCGCCCTGCTCGATTTGAGGTCCGAAATCAGCAGGGGAAACCGTGAGATACGAGTACAAGAAAGCATCGGATTTGTGCACAGAACTAGTTCGACATGAGTCGATCCCAAACAGCCCACGAAGTTGAGAATAAGAGGTCCCGGCAGGCATTCCATCAAACATGTCACAGGCATTTGTCACGAGAAGCAAATACTGCGAGGTCGTATCGTATCCTTACCTATGCACTCCATTCCACCCGGGCGAATCCACACGCATATAGAGACCGATCGCTGCTTCCCTTTGCCACCAGTACTGTGCGATAATTCGCAAGGAAAGGATGCTTGGGTCAGCGTTGGAAGTTGGAACAGAAGAAAAATGGAAACGAGTCGAGGATGGCGGGTGAGGAGAAGAGACCGCTGGTCAGGAGCCAAGCACGCGCCAGCGCCGCCGCGAGGGAGGATCCGGCCACCGAGAGAGAGACGGCGGCGACGAGCCACCAGCCGATCGCCTCGGTGCTCCTGTGGCGCCTTTAATTTTTTGAGGCTGCTCCATCCTGTGCGCCATCCTATATCTCGCTTATAGCGAGACGTAGGGAAGCCTCGCGAGATGAGCCAGCCCAAGACGCGAGAGGCCACTGCCTCATCATTTTGTTGTTTCCTTCTCGTTTCTTCTACTTTTGACTATACTTCCAAATATTCTAAATAAATCTATTACAAAAATTACTGTACATACAATATTTTAAAGAATGTTAACCAAGCATTTGAGAATGTTAAATGTGCATATAGAAAGTGTTTCTCATGTATACGAAAAATATAAAATACGTGTGAACAAAGATGATCATGTATTTAAAATTTTTAATCAAGGATTTATAAAAATATCACACAAATATTTCAAAAATGTTAATAAAGCATTTGAACAATATAAAATTTGTATAGAAAAAATATTAATGATATATTAAAAAATTTAATTTTATATTTGAAAAATGTTAATCAAGCATTTGCAAATGCTAAATGTGTATAGAAAAAAATGTTGATCATGTATTAAAAATGTTAATCTTGTATTTAAAATATATTAAATGTGTATTAAAAATGTACAATGTGTATAGAAAAAATAAACATAAAAAATACAAGTTTTTAGAAAAATATTAATCATGTATTTCAAAATGCTAAACATGTATATAAAATTTATTTCTGATGTACACGAAAAATCTCGAATGTGTATTGAGAAAAGCTTACGTGTGTTGAGCAAGAAAAGAAACCACTGAAAATGGAAAAAACAAAGCAACCCAATAAAAGCAAGAAATGAAAATAAAGAAAATAGAAAACCAAAGAAACCAATGCAAAAGAATGGTAACCGTGAAAGAAACAAATTGGTGGACGTCGGCGGCTCCTCCCACGACGGATCCATCATCGACCGGCACCATCAAGGCTCCAGACTCCGACGAGGAAGAGTAGGACATGGGAGACGGCGGCGCCTTGAGTCCCGTGAGCCGGTGTGTGTCCCATGTCCTACTCTACCTCGCCGGTGACTGGAGCAACACTTGAAGGGACGCAGCCGGTCGCTGGACCTGGCCGCGGCGGAGCCAGACGAGCTCCGCTTAGAGTCAATGGCGGAGCTGGAGGTATTCCTGGGTATTCCCTGGAATACCAAAGAATTTTGTGCAAAAAAAATTACTACATATATCAATATACATAGACTTACTTGGCCCAGCCCAAACACAACGACGCAGCGAGCCAGCGACGCGGGGCGCCAGACAGGAGCGAACAGACATATGGTCTCGCGCGCGAGTAGCAGACCGATCGAGCAGCGAGCACGTTCTTTCTCGAATCCCCTTTCCCTAACCTAGCGCTAGCTGAGGCTCCGGCGGCGGCGGCGAGCGATTCTGGTCCAGCGGCCGGCCTTCTCCTCTCGCCTCTCCCTCAGTTCCTCCCCTCCACTCCGGCCATCTCCCTCCCCAGCTCCCCTCCCCTCCGTCCGGTCCTCTCCTCCGCGGCTCCGCCAGGCGCCAGGCCGCCAGTCCGCCTCCGGCTTCCCCTGTTCCCCAGCGTGGCGGCTACCGGCCTCGGTGCTCAGTTCAGCACCGTCCAGCAGCAGCAGGCAGCAGGTCCGGCCTCGGTTCCTCACTTCCTCTGTTTCTTTTCCTCTGTTTCTAACAAATCTGTAGATAGTTCAGTGAGTGCTTGTAAATTTAAATTGAATTCTGATCCATTTGCTGCATATGATCATACATGATTGCTACTTGATTCATTTGCTGCATATTGTCAAGATTTCCATGGCAATTAAGCATGTTCATTTCTCATGTGCGTAAGGATAAAAGGTTTAGCAAGTTGAAGAATCTATGTGACCTTTCAGTTTTGATGGTTGAGACAAGAAAGAATGAACAATATTATATTGTTTACAAACTTCTTAAGTTGGTTCTCATTCTTCCGGTTGCCACTGCTAGTGTTGAGAGGGTATTTTCCTTGATGAAATACGTGAAGAATTCACTAAGAAACAAAATGGGTGATGAATATTTGAACAATTGCTTGGTTACATTCGTTGAGAGATAATTCTTCAGGCAAGTAAAAGATGAGGATGTCATCAATCTCTTCCAGAAAGGGGATCGTAAAGTTATATTGTAATTTCCTTTGCTATTTGTAATTTTTCTTAATTGTTAGAGATATTGCGACAATGATATTTTGCTACTATTGTCGATACTAGCAAATATGCCCGTGCGTTGCAACGGGAGACAAAAAATTATGGCTCACCAAATAAACATGACTCAATATCCTGATGTATGAGCATACTCTATTTTAACATAGTGGCTCACCATGTTGCCATTTATTTTATTTTTCTCACCCTAGCCGATGATGGTCGCGATGTCCACGTGATCACAATGCATTCCGCGGTAAATCACAAGGCTATGAAATTTCCAGTGCATGCCACACTTATCATTATGTTGCGCAAGGGAACGTCTAAAACTTTAAAAACAAATCTCATTGACCATGAACTACTCCCAACGCCAAGATATATAAAGACTTTCGAAAAACTAATCAAATCCTAGACATAAAATACTTTTGAATCAGTGAACACTTTTCGAATCGACAATTTTGTTTTGAAATTTTTGATTTTCTCAAAAAATATCATGAACATTAGTTTTGTTTACAATTTTTTTAAATGTATGAACCGGTTTCGAATTCATTAACATTTTTTGACTCAACACACATTTTTCCAATTGACGAACTTTTTTAGAAAAATTGGGGAACACATTTTTATTTTTATTTTTGTGAATGGATATTTTTTTCAGATTCCCGAATATGTTTTGATTACACGATCATTTTTTTCAAAATCATGAACATGATTTTATTTCCCGACCATTTTTTTCCAAAAATTGTGATTTTTTATAATTTTATGAACAGTTTTGCAAAAACACCAACATTTTTTGAATCTGCAAAACTTTATGATTTTCTAACATTTTTGAATTCACATATATTTTTATGATTTCTCAAACATTTTTTTGAAAAGTTGCAACTTTTAGAATATTAAAATCCCGAATTAATTTAAATAAGAAATAAGAAATCATGAACATTAGTTTTGTTTACATTTTTTTAAATGTATGAACCAGTTTCAAATTCATTAACATTTTTTGACTCAACAAACATTTGTTCAATCGACGAACTTTTTAAAAAAATTGGGGAACAAATTTTTATTTTTATTTTGTGAATGGACATTTTTTTCAGATTCCCGAATATGTTTTGGATACATGATCATTTTTTCAAAATCATGAACATGATTTTATTTCCCGACCATTTTTTCAAAAAATTGTGATTTTTTATAATTTTGTGAACAGTTTTGCAAAAACACCATCATTTTTTGAATCTGCAAATTTTTTATGGTTTTCTAAACATTTGAATCTGCAAAATTTTGTTTTGAATTCACATATATTTTTATGATTTCTCAAACATTTTTTTGAAAACTTGCAACTTTTAGATTATTAAAATCCCGAAATAATTTAAATAACAAATAAGAAAAAAAACAAAATGAAAAAAGAAAAGATAAAAATAAAAAACAAAAAAAAACAGGGGAGTAAAGCCCTGCACATGGGCCGGCCCATGAACACATACATGGATAGGGACATGCGTGAGAAAGGAAAGATAAATATTGTGAAAGCTGGGATTCGAACCCTGGTCTCGGCGCTACAGGAGTGATTAGCCAACCACTCTGCCGCTTTATTAGTAGGTAAAGATAAAGATAGGACGACGATAACTGCCACACGTATGGGCATTAAGGGGTCTGCCCACACATTTTGTGTGGTGTCTAAGAGGACCAGCCCACACACCTACGTGTGGGCAAAACAACTAGCGCCCACACGCCTCGTTTTTTTTGCGGTCCCTCTCACATGCCTACGTGTGGGCAAAATGCATA